TTTTTTATTCTCTTCAAAACTAACATTGAAGATACTGAGAGAATTGATTAGATTGAAACTTTAAGGCTCTCTAATACTCGAATTGGGCATTGGAGAAATCTCTACATTCATTTCTGAGTATGTTATAACAACCAGAACAAGAAACAAACCCTGATATTGCATCTCCTCCAGCACTGAAAATTGCAGAATTATGATGATTTGGCCTACCCAAGGGGACTCAATAGTAGTACAAAATACATACAAACACAATATCACAGAAAGCAAATTCAAGACATTTGATAAGGGAAAAAAGACATACAACCAGTTTTGCTAAGTGAATAGTAGAATTGGGACCTGGAAAAAAAGACCTACCTGCTACCAATTGCTGCATGAAGCCTAATAATCAACTCCTCTTCTTCGGGTGTAAAGCTCTCGTGCTTGAGGTCAGGCCTCAGGTGATTAGTCCACCGGAGCCTGCAGCTCTTTCCATATCTCTTAAGTCCTGTCAAAAACACATTCAAGCATCACAGCTCATGTGAAATCGAAACTGTTAGCCATGATTGAGAAATTTTGAACATCTTACAAACTGAAATCAAGATTTCAACACCAACATACCTGCTTTCTTGGAGACCTCTGTCCAATTTCGCGTTCCATGCTTAGATACATATGCAGGTATCTTTGCATCCTCCTTCTCATTATTCCAAAGTCCCTTCTTCACATTCAGCCCGGTGCAGCATGGAGGTCTCACCATATTATCTGCTGATCCAAAAACATGTTAAAATTAAAAATTAGTAGGCAAAATTGGAAAGCCGGAATTAAAGATAACTGGAGTGATTTAACTTTCAAATCTTCTTTACAAATGCCCTCCAGGGCCTCATGGGGAAGAGCAGAGGAAAGAGATGAGCTTAAAAGGTTTAACAAGTGAAGGCAAGAAATGCATGGGGGGTTCTCTTCCATTTAACCACATTTGCATGATAAATCACATCTTCTATCTACTGACTAGAGATTAAATATGAAAGAAGCACACACACACACACACAGATATATATATATATATATATATATATATATATATATATATAGATATATATTATCTCTATTCCCTTTGCACCTCATATGGTTGGAGCAAAGAGCAATTGAATCAGGTTCAAATAGGGTGGATTTTTGGTTATACATGGATTTAAACTAAGTTAATTAAATAAAAAGTATTGGTTGTTTGGGTTTTGATGATTCCTCAAACGAAAAGACTCCCCTGTTTAGTTTCCAAGGATCACAAGTTTGATAAGAGTGACTATTATAAACAAAGATTCAACTAATTAAAGAAACAAAATGGAAAGCCCATTTGAGCACACAATTTTGGCATGATTTGTGGCTATGGGAACTGTTTGGATCTTGTTCATATTCAAAATAATGCTTCGGATCTAAAAATTTGACCTAATCATTTTTTTTTCTGCTACAAGGTGTTTAGAGGCTTGTGTCAACTACCCCTTGACCTCAAAACCAGTGGTCAGAGCATGTCTTTAAAGAGACAAGGGTAGCTAGTTCTTAAGGGATGTGGAAAGAGATTGAATCTGAAATTTTTGAGTTACCAAATATCAGATTCAACTATTGAAATTTAACCACCTAATGATGCGACTTTATTGTATTTATTAGATTAACACTAAGTTCTAATGTTTGGAGGGGATCACAATCAATTCAAAAGTTATAATGAATTAATTTAACAAATTAGATTAATAAATTAGGTATCAATAAAATTGTTGATTGATTTTTGGAGTATATTTTTCCTCTCATCGCATGGTTCCTGGTGAACAATAGAAACTGAGAGAATAACAACGAAAACTTATTGGGAGTTTCATGTTTTGCCACTAGAGCATTCCTTTTTCTTTCCATTGTTTTTTTCCCATTTTCACCCGAGTTTGGAAAACAATAAACTTGGTGTAGGAAACATTTTCATTCCCATTGCAGTTTTCTTTTGTTGAAGCTTTTCGATGAAGTATAGACAACTTGCATAAGTGCTTAGACTTGTTTTTCAGGGTGTTGTCCAAATTATTGTAATTCAATATGAAAATACCAACATTCACTCTTTAGATGATATCTATCTGTTGTCAAAGTAACAAGGGAGCCGCACAACTGCCCCAAAAAGAATTGTGCCCAAGGTGCATACTTGATCGATTTGTTCACATGATTATTTTCTAATTCGGCCTTATTTTAGAGGATCCAAATACATCGTTTCCCTTTGTAATTTACTAGTTTGGGTGAGAAAAATGATGTTCAAGGCTAACTGGTGGAATTCTGCCTAGCCAAATCTAGTATAAACTGTGACTAAAAAAATTGGGTGACGCTACCACACTAATCCACGAGCTATCTTTCCGGTCCTCCTGTCCATTAGGCCTTGAAAAATTAAGAAATACGGCATTAACCAGATTCGATTATTATTAAGTTTGAACTATGTGTTTTTTCACAGCAATGATGAAGGATGTATAGGGTCCAACCTCCTCTTAGGTAAGTCCGGCACTTTTAATCAAGGGTTTTAAGGGCTGATACCTTTTTTAGAAATGATAAGGCAAAAAGTACCACTTCTAAAAATATTGGTCAAAAAGTATACAATACATAACAAATGTCTAAAATAACCCATTCAGAAGAAGGTGAATAGTCTTCTAAATTTTTCCCTCCAAAGCTGAAACAACGGGAAAGGATACCCATAACTCCTTCAATACTGTCGAAAATGTGGGCTCTTCAAAAATTGATGACATAACTTCTTAAAACCTCCGTTCTTTTCAAAACAGGATGTTCAAAATTAATTTTTTTTTTCTTCGCATGAGTTTCTCAGTGAATTAGTGAAAGGGCACTAGTGGACGGTGAAGAACGAATCAGTGAAAAAAGACTTTCATTGTGGAGATAAAGGGATGTGAAAACTTCCTAAACTCTCTGTTCCTTTCAAGACATGATGTTCAAAATGAGTATTTTGTTCAACCCATTCTCATTTTTTTTTTTGATTTGTTCACTGTTCAATTTTGATGGGTTCACTTTAACAATGTTGAAAACTTTTGTTCAAGACATGGTGTTCAAAATGGGTTTTTCGTTCAACCCATTTTCAATTTTTTTTTTTTTGATGTGTTCATTGTTTAATTTTGATGGGATCACTTTAACAATGTTAAAAACTTCCGTTCAAGACACGATTTTCAAAATGAGTTTTTCTTTAACCCATTTTCAATTTTTTTATATGTTCAATGTTCAAAATGGTTTTTTTTTTTTTAAAAAAATGGATTCAGTGTGAAATAGTGAAAATCTCTATTGCAGACGGTGACGACCACACCATTTTTGTAAACGATGAATAAGAAGGATACATTGGGGTGAGGAAGGACTGTTGAGATCATTGAATAATGTTTGAAAAGAACTTGTCAACATTGGAGAAGGTAAATTTTGATAAATTATGACGTTGAATCAATAATAACTCCAATTTTTTTTTGGTAATTTGATTGATTGTTACAATTGCTATTTATGATTAAATTGTTAAATTTCACAAGGAATATTGCATTATGATTCAAGTAAATTTGAGTATTTGTAAATCTGCAAAATTTGTTATTTGACCAATAATGTAATAACAAACTAATTTCAACTATATGTTAGGGTTGACTGTGGTATGTACGTTTGCCATATTATGAAACAATTGGCAACAAGAGAAGGCGTAGAATAGAATTTGACACAAAGACAAATAAAAGACTTTCGAAGTGAAATACTGTCAATGTTTCTGAATTATCAAAATTCTTGGACAGAAAACGATTTCAAAACGAGACGAATGATGAAGACAAATTTGTGGGTGCATGATTAGTTCTGCAAACTGTTATTACATATTTGAAGTGTAAATGTGATTATTAAACAATGACATTGGGATTTTGATGTAATACTGTTTCTATGATGATGTTGTTTGATTGTGGGAGTACTAATGTGACTTTGGGTTGTAGCAATGTGATTTTGGATTGTAACAGCGCAACTTTGGGTTATAACAGGATGACATTGCATTGTCAATTTTGTTAATTTGATTTGTAACAGTGTGTGACATTAGGTAAATGACTGACAGTAGAATTACATTTCTTTTGTATCAGTGTGAAATTTTTGATGATATCAATGTGTCATTGGTTGTATCAGTTTCATTTGAAGGTTAAAATATGATGACATTAGTTTGAGTGAGGGTGGCGTTTGGCTAGAAGTAATGTGTCATTGTCTGATAGCAGTGTGTCATTGTCTGTTTATCATGCTGATTTTGGGTTACAGCAGTGTGTCATTAGATGGTCTGACTGTCTCATTGTCTACTTCCATATTGAACGTGGGTTACTTCAGTGTTATAACATTGTGACATTTCAAGGTCTAACTTTAACATTAACAGTGAATCCTGTGACATTTGTTGTCACACTGTGACTAACATATGGATATTTGAAACATGGGTTAAGGAATGGCTAATGAAATCATCTGTTAAATGAAAGAGGAAGTGGAAATTCAAAATTCAAAAATGATATAGCATAAAAAAACAAAAAATTGAATCTAAAATATAACTACCGTATTTGTATCCCATTAATAAAGAAAAATGACAGTTTTGTAAGAGAAAAAATTACAATTCAGCAAAAGTGTACTTCCTCACCAAACATTTATACACAAATGTACTTATATACAAATATTTTATATTAAGATACTTTTTCACAAATATGTGTTACATGGTGTACTTTTTCACAATTTTCTCTTTAATCAACGGTCAATAGTGGGTTATGGGCCGTGCAAGATTCTCTCCCCAAAAATTTATAATCCGTGATCTGACCATTGGATTGGGTTAAGTGTTAATGGGCACTTAGCAAGTCTTAATGGGTCTATGTTTTTTCCAAATCAATCTTATACTTTAAATTCGTATGATTTTTTTGGGCCAATGGTTGGGCATCGATCCCACCTAATGGGCTGCCTTTGTGGACCTCGATTTTTCTTGTTGCTAACTTGGGTCCAATCATCACTCTGGGATTGTTAATCACCTTCTCTGTATTCTCCAATGTTGATTGGATTGGCTTAACAGACAGTCCACTATCAACTGCTACGTATTTCTCGGAAAAACGTACTGACTTGGATTTTCAAAAAGCAACAGACTTTTTCCCAGTCTAGTGCTGGAATAGAGTACAAGGTACCGGACCTTACTACTTCTAAACCGACTAGACATCAAAATCATAAGTCAGGGTCCTGTCCAGTGGGCTACTGGACTTCACGCAGACTGTCCCATGGCCTGGTGACCAGTTGTGCTAGCGTGGTCTATTGGATAACAATGGGTCTGCCGGCCAGCTGCTCCTGTTTGCTTGAAAGCATGTGTTCAAATTTTTGATTACTCATAATTTTTTATTTTATCTGTTCAACCCTATTGGTCGGCTAGTCGAAAAAATTAAGTAAGAATGCGAAATAATTTTTAGTCTTTTGATTAAATCAGTAGAAATACAGAATACCCATTAAATTTTTGTATTCTTACTCTACCCGCATATATATATATTCCATATTTTTACCCTACCCTACATATATTTATTTATTTATATATTTTTTTAGTAATTATAGGATTATTTGTATGATATAATTTATAACATTGTTACTGTTGTGGATGTTTGGATTGCTGAAACATGGACTTATTTTTTGTGTAGATTATATGATTTGTGGTGATCTATTAAAGCAGTTATGATTTTTGATGTGTTTCATATGGTTTAAACCTAAAATAGTTATTATTGT